TGGAGGCCCTTCGCTGTGTGAGTGAATCTAGTTCCTTCCGAGGAGGATGATTGTTACGAGAGTATAGTTTAAAAGTGTTTGATAATTTGCTGCCATGCTTTGGAGATTGGGAATCTCTGGAGGGAAGTAGTAGTTGACTAATGTGGTGTAACTACTCACTGTTGAGTCTGTGGAGCTTTTTTTATACTGTTTTTCGGAGGTTTATGTTTTCGTATAGTATGAAGGATAAAGAATGATAGACTTATAGGAGGACTTTTGATGTCAATTGAACACTTAAGACATATTAATAGGTGCAGTATCGGCTGGGGTTACTGTTTTGAGGAAATTACGATAGTCCATGGATCAGAGAAAATGGCGTCTTGTGTGAAATGTGTTTCTTTGTGTTTCTAATGAGCTGCGTGCTTGTATCGTGCGCCAGAGGACAAATGTGGTGGTTCTGTTTTGATTCTTGCGTGCATTAAAAGCTACTTGCAATTGTTGAGGATCTAGCATTGTATGCACGATAAATTGTCATATGTGTAGCAACTTTGGTTCATATTTCGCTCCACATTCATCTTAAATCCATCTTCAGTTCAGTTTTTCATTATGGAATGAGTTTGAGAAACTGCGAGTGGGGCGGATTTCTAGAGGAAAAAGACTGAGGAGCGAGGTATGTACACGACTGGACTAACATCAACACTTAGTTTGGTGTTGACAAAGGTTCACGACACGCGCTAACTACATTTTGGTTATGCTACAAATCATCACACCACCACACACATAGACACACATCATCACATCCACCTCACATCACACCATCAATCATCAACTGCGAGCTAAACAAACACTTTAATTTCAAATATCAAGCACCCTTGCACAACAAACAAGTAAAAAGTGTGGAAATTTTTGCTTGCATTGTTTGAATGGGAAAAAGTAAGGACAACTCGTGGTGAACTAAATTAATGAAAAAATTAAAAATTGCAGAAGCCTTTATAGACTAAAAACTGAAATCGTTAAACATTAAAAGACATGCAGTAGTAAATGTTAAGAATAAACATGGGATTCTCAAAAATGCGTTTTTCCTGGGAATGTGTTTTTCAATGTCGGCCAGTTTTCTGCCAGCAAAGGAACAAATGTGGGTTGAAGTTTTTGCCGGTAAGCTTAGCCATTTTTCAGGCTATAAAATTTAAAGGAACTTAGACACCAGAATTTCTAAAAACAAAAGATGCAAAAATGAAATTAACCTTGCAAGTTTGAGCTCAATTCAATTCAAACAACAGCAAAAAACAGCATGAAAATAAAAAACGGACATGGGGACAAAAAAGTCCCGAAGGAAAAAACCTAAGGGTTAAGGTTCAACTGTGTAACATTTAGGAGGCTCTACTTGGCTGAAAATAGGCAATATACTTCACAATTCATGCAGGTATGGACTTTTCAACCAGTGTATAAGTCACTGAATGATCATTGAACACCTACAGTTAGCCCATAAGGGGAGCAAACCCAAACAGCGTGGCGTACCAGGCGCTTTTCCGGTTTGTTCGCGGCCGCGAGTTTCGCAATCCACCCGAAGATGGTTCTCCTTTACACACCTCTCACGCAGACCAGTTCGTCGTCCCCAGTTCGTCAAATTACAGATGCGACGGCTTGTGGGCTTAAGTTACGCTTGCAATCTGAAACTTCACCACCAGATTGGGTCACGAAATCACACACACCTGGTCTTTTCCAAGCACGCTCCCCACAGCTTTTCCTTTTAACACCTGCCTAGAGGCACCCCGACCCTGGATACCACATGTTGGGAACCGCTGTGTCTTAAGAGTCATGGGTTGCTGAACATCTTATAGCTCGTTGATTTATTTTTATTCTTGTTCTCTTATGTTGTTACGACAGATGCATATTAACCGAATAATTGCTGTAATATCCCCCTGAATTAATTTAAGGAACCCCTAAGGGTTAAGGTCTTGAAAATGTTTCAGCACTCATCCAAGACGTCTCTCATTTCCTAGAACTGGATGGATTGTGAAATATCTTTGAGCGTCACTGACAAGTTCAGGGCATCATGGTGGCCTAGGGGTAAAGATATGTACTGTCTAAACCATGTCCCTGGTTCCAATCCAGCTGGGGACCTTTGTTAGATAAAACACACGTATCTCACGCTCTATGTTTCCAGTTTATTTCTTATTTCCTGACTATATAGTATTAAGACAAGCCATTTTTAAAATACAGTTTTTGCAGGTTGTATACAACAAAATTAACATACTTAGCAACAAGAAATAACACAAGACTATCGAACTGCAACTTTAAAGCTACCGCTAATTAACATCAATAAGCAGATAACAAAATATTTTTCCAAACAAGTATTGTTTGTTTTCTGAGGTAGTTCTGTAGCTCATCCAACATCTGAAACTAATAACCTTCAGCTGTGAACAGCTCCTACGTTCTTTTTTTGTCTATTACATTGTAGGACAATTGTCTGCGTCAACAGATTGAGTTTCATTTCATACGTAAGTTTCCTTTTATAACAAAAATAAAACTTAAGTACAACAAGTCTCTGGATTGTGAACTGTGCCCTTCAAGTCATTTAGAAATTCAATTACATTTGATGTGTGGGTGCCTTTTGTTGGACTTATTTCCTTCCCAACATTCAAAATTTGACTTGTACCCATAGTTTATAATTTTAAATGATGGTGTCTGTATATCAGATGTTATTTTGTCTAGCATGCTGAAATGAGTCTCAGTTCAATTTCATTCCACCAGATTAATCTGTGGGTTCAGACAGGGGTGGATCTGAAAAATAAATTAATTTAATGATCTGTTATGGCCATATTTTAGACTAAATGAGAGGTTTAAGTTCGATGAAAACAAGACTAATTTTTGGAAAAACATTACTATTGAATGCTTTGCTAATGAACCACAATAATGTAATGTTTTTTTCGCTAAAGTATCTTAATTTGAGGGCTTTTCCAAGAAAATATTGATACATTTCTGTCACCCCTTAAAGTCTCCATGGGTTCAACTACTACTGCATGCATGGCATTGGAGTAATGAATAGCAAAACTGGGGCATGGTTCAGGTCTCTCATACAGTAGACATAAGAACAAAAGAAGAAACCAGATTGTGCAGTGCAAGTTTTGACAGAGCAGAGCTACAGTTGCCCTTGTTTTTCACACCATGAATCATTAACAAAGCCCTGATCAGTTTTTCAGAGTCTCACAGTTGACCATCTTTTTGATTCAGAGCATTGCTGTGAAAATGATGACCCAGTTAATGTGGAACAGATGATAAACAGCAGCTGTTGACTGAAATCCAGAAGCAGTTCCTCTCTTTCTCACCTTTGGCTCAGTTTTAAAGGATTTTATACTACTTGCAATAAGACTTTAGCTGTAGTTGCTGCCTGTAAACTTTTTTTTTACAACTTTGCTATGTAAGAGCTAACCACTAAGACGTGTCAGATCTCGCTCCAGTTATGTTCTGTTGGAAGGCATTTATGCTTCATTTCTTGCCTTTCACTGCAACATTAATCATAGCCTTTTGGATTGCAAACAACATAAAATAAAGTGACTGGTCATGCATTGATACACCTAAATAAAGGACCAAAGTTAAAAGTTCAATTCCTCCTGGTATCAAATCAAATCAACACATTCATCTCATTTTACTGAATGGCTTTGGATAAAAGTGAACCTGTGCAGCACAATCTGTAATCTATTGGAAGAGACCTCTAATCTCTGTGTTATGTTTGCAGTTTTCTTTAAAACAGCTTCCCAGTCATGTTGTGCTTTCATTCAGTTCAAAAGGAGATTGTCCATATAAGGCAGTGGTTACTCTTTCGCAACCATCTCAGCTGTGTTTTTATGAACTGAACAGATTAAACATCCAGAGCTCAAGGCTGGACTTTCACTGCCCAATGCAATTACAAACAAATGCTGACTTGCTTTTAGGTTTGATATACTGGCTCCTCATGATAATCCCAGAGGGTTAGGAAAGGTAAAGAAAAAGAGAGTTATGTTTTTTTTTTGTACTTTTTATTTGAGCAGAGCCTGGATAAAATAAAATATTGTGTCAAATAATGTATCATAAAACTGATTTTAATATCTTTTGTGACATTTCTATTAGAAAATAAGCGTCCGGTTTTAGATTAATAAGTGATTCTTTGGGGACGCGGGTAGCTCATTGAGTGCCCCATCCTTACTGCAGCATCCTGGATTTGATTTCAACCTGTGGCCCTTTGCTGCACATGGTCTCCTCTGTCCTCCACCTTTCCAATTTCTTTTCAACTGTCGCTGTCAAATAAAGACATAAAAAGCCAGAAACAAAATATTTTGATGATCCAATATTTGAAATGAAACTTTTTCCAAAATGAAACCCTTAAAATCAGCAAAACCCTCTGATTTGATTTAAGATCAAACTTCTGTTTGGTTTTAAGACTTGAAGGTCCAGTTCAAGTCCAACATTTAGGCTCTGATGGCAAAAATTTAATGTAATATTAATATGTGTTTTTTGTGGGTTTCTTCAATACCGTAGTTTCTCCTACACACTCGGAAGGCTATGTTCTATGAACCCAATTGAAATGCCATGTTTACTCACCTTGGATCACCTCTCAAAGCAAATCACTTACTCTGGTTCAAAACAACTTATTTACCCTTGATGTATCAGTTCCACTCAGGCATCAGCTCCCTTTTTAAACAGATTTTTTAAACAGGAACTGCAGACAGATGCGGTTTGGTTGTTTCATTTTTTCACTGACACAATGAACATTGTTCACTGCATCCTTAATCAGTGTGAAACAGGGCTCTTCAACTCAGTTTAGGTTGGGGCTCTTCATGTCAATACTATCAAAAGAATGCAATATCTGAAAATGTATATACATTTTTTATAAGAAAAGTTGGTTTAATCTTGTTTGTTGCAGCCAAACAAACAAATGAAAGGCCTAAAAACCTGCTCTCGCCTAGTCGCGGCACGCAGTGCTGCGAGGAACCTGTGTGGAGTGGATAAGATGGTATGTTGATAAACAACACACAAAAAAATAAATTATTTTTTCGCAGATTATATTCTATTTTGACATCAATGATCGTGGACAAAAGGAAGTGGGAGGATGGAGGGGAGAGAATGAACAAGCAGTTTGAGAATCCTATGTTTGCAATATTCCTCAAGGGGAAGGGATGCTTGCAACCAGTGATATTGAGCAAGAACAGAGTTCCTAAATAAACAGCAAGTCAAGACTCCTCCTTGGCACTCGTTGAGGCCTTGATAATCTCTTTCTGTCTTCCAAAATGTGTACACATTTCTGTGTGAAACGGCTGCGGGCTAGAGGTTCAAGACTTTATTGCAAAATATGATTGTTATCATAATGCCAATCACTAATCATAAACTTAGTAGGTGTGTGAAGACACTGGCACTGGCATTGTGAGGTGACGGTAATAGGCAAAGAGTGATGCCTGGCACAGTTGTTTCCTCAAGGGGAATTCATAAGTGAAACTAAAGGAGCAATAAGAGCAGTTCTGTACTGACAGAAAGTGTCACAGTTCACAGCGTAATATTTCATAATTCTGTAGAGGTCATAAATCCACAAAAACATCATATTTTATTATTAGCTCTTTTACCGAAAGTGCTTGAAATGGGTCAAATCAATTCCTGCAAACTGCCTGAAGAGCCAACATTTTTTTTTTTTAAACTTCAAGACTTATAAGGAAGCAAGGAATCATTCAACATCCCAGTAGAAAGTTCTTTGTAAACAGTTAAAATCTTGGCTGAATCCTGTACTACTTCCCCACCGGACAAGAAAATCTGAGGAAAAAGTTAAAATCATTCTTTGAAAATACTTTTATTCCGATTAATGAATCTCGCCTTACTTATTGCTCAGACCAGAATCCATGAAGCATTTATTGCCTTACAACAAAATCAAACATTAGCACAATACTAAATAACATAGATATTTACAAAATGAGAATAAAATTGTGCAAAAATTCTGTGTGCTCCGGATGTTTGGTGACAATCATAAAATTAGGATAATATTCACAAACATTTTAAATAAAATATCTACCTCAAATTAAGGCATTTTAGGCATCAGTTTAAAATGCACAAAAAAACCCCAAAACATTTAAGATGGCTGTTTTTAAATTGTGTCTATTGTTCCACATTCCTGTCCACATTAATTTTTTCCTTCCCTAGTCTCAGGTTTCATTTTTGTTGGACCAAGCATGTTCTCAGTGTCTCCCTTATCAGGATTACCTGTGACCTGGGATTAGTTCAACAGATTTATGCACTGACTAAGAGGGATTGTAGATGCTGATAGCCATACAGTGATTGATGAATGTTATGCGTCAGCTTGTGGTTGGTGACGTAATCAGAACAGAAAGCTGTAGCTAATTACTTAAGAAAGGTACCCTAGGTCTGTAAGCTGTAATTGACTTACACTGCGGGACAGCAGAGCCCTTAGACTCTGAACAGTATTGCACAACACAACTTGAATACTTTTCAACATGTAACATAACAGCTCACAGATTAAGAAAGCCTAAAGTGAATGAGGGGGTGTCAGCCAGTAAAAGGGCACATGTGTATGTGATGAAGTGTACCCACAACTAAAGCCAGTCATTTCTCATTACAATACAACACAGACAGCGGAGGGAGTGTGTTTTCCCACAGATGCTACAGACCACTTCTGTGGACTCCCATAATCATCAGGGTGAAGCGCTGAATAACCTACAGCTTCCATTGACCTCCTCTTCTGGACCTGATGGAGAAGGATCCGGTAGGTCCCCGTCAGCGGGCTCCTACAGTCTAAGCAGGAATTGTTTTGGAAATGGACTGTCACAATGCCAAGATCTGACAGCAAACCCTTCACTTCCTGCTCCTCCACACACAGAGCCTGGTTGGCCTGGGCAAAGTGAGCTGGGGACAGGGGCAGCAAGACATACGGACGAGGGTACTCGATCCCATTCAGCCAAGCACTGTTTGTAATCTGTGTGAGAGTGGAGCGGTCAGCAGGCACAGGCCGCAGCATGCCTTTAATGACCAGCTGGCATGGATCGGGCACATAAGCAGGGATGCTGTAGGCCCCCTGCAGGATGCAGCGCTTCAGCCTCCCCATGTTGTCCCCATAGAAGGGCATAGTGGCCGTCACCATGAAGTACAAGAGAATACCCAAAGCCCAGGTGTCTGAGTAGCGTCCGATGTAACCTTTTTCCTTAAACAGTTCAGGAGCAGCGTACGGTGGTGAGCCACAGAAGTTGGTGAGGAGCTCATTAGGGTCGCTCTCTGTGCTGAAACCAAAATCTCCAACCTTGATGCAGTAGCTGGTGGTGTAGAAGATGTTCTCTGCCTTAAGGTCTCTGTGGACGATTTTGTTGTCATGCTGAAATGTCACAAAAGAATTTGATTTGATATTTACTTTTAGGGAAAGAAAGTGTTTGCAAAAATAACTTTAATGCTTTCATCATGTTACACAAATAGTATTCTATCAATTATATATTATCATTATTAGTGGTGTAAAAGTAACTAAGCACATTTACTCAGGTTGTGTGCTTGCACTTATATTTATATTTTGTCTACTTTATACTTCTAACGAACTACATTTATGTTTTACTTTTTAACTATATTTATCTGGCTGTTATAGTTACTAGTTACCTTTCAAATTAAGATTTTATATAAAAATATATTGTTTATAGTTCATAAAATACAATAAATTGTTGACAAAGATATGTTTATAGTTGGGGCCCTTTGCCATGTGAGTTGTTAGCAGTTCTACCAAAGATAGATTTCCCCTCTAAACTTATAAGATGATTTCATTTAAATAATTGTTTTAGGTCCAAGGGAATAAAATCAAATCCAGACCCAATATTTCACAGTGAAAGCAAAACTAAAAGACAAGGCAATAATCTTCCTACTTTCCTACCCTATTAGTCATCTCATGCCCCCTTATATTATCTTATCACTGTTTGGAAGGAGTATTTGATGGAAAACAGGCAATATTCTGTTTCAATTCCTCAAAAATGGGTCATTATGGTGGCATAAGGGTTTAAGATGCTGATTGTATCTACAGTTTAAGGCTGACTGAGAAACTGTTGTTTCATGTTATCTCCCATGTCAGCTCTCCACTGACCGTTTACAAAGTTTCAGTTTGAATATCTTCGTCATATCATAATCCATGGCTATGAGGGACAGACAGATGATGATTCAGACTGACACTGAAGCTCACCATGTGTTTAACCGCAGAAATTACTTGTGCAAACACCAGCTTGGTTTCCAGGTCTTTCAGCTTCCCCCTGGTGGTGATTCGGGAGAACAGATCTCCACCGCTGCCATACTCCATCACCAGATACAGCTTCCTGCTGGTTTCGAACACCTCATAAAGTCGCACTATGTTGGGGTGGCACAGCTTCTCCATGCAGCTGATCTCTGAGGAAGTCATTGTCTGGGTCTTCTTATCTAGACGCAGCTTGTCCACGACTTTGATGGCTACTCTCTCTGAGACAGAAGAGGAGGGAAGGCTTAGATGTTGTGATGGATTTAGAGAGGGTCTTACAAGGTCAAAGTTCAGAATAAGGACAGAGACATACTTAAGAGATTTAAACACATGCGAAAACAGGGGAGATGGAAAAATATATTTTTTGTATCTAATTTAATTGGAGGATTGTTGCAGCATTATTTTGAGGTATGACAAAAATGTGGCTAAGAACCAAGAACCCCCTAACAGTTCAACCTGCACACACAAACACAAGTACAACAAAACAGAACAACAACAGAAAATAAAAGCACTGCAGGGGTCAGGAAAGATCTGGTGATCAGAAAGGCTTATTCAGGGGATCAGTCTACATTATTCACAAACCTGTTAATATTATTTGTGTACAAAATCTCCCCAAAGTCAAACTGTGTACGCAACAGTGAAGTGGTTGACTGGACAGGAGGTAATGTGTTTCACATTGGATCAAAGATTCATTATTTTAAGATTTAAGCATTAATTTAATAAATAGAATAAATTAAATTAAATTGTTACTGTTGAACTCCAGTCCAGATCCGGGTCTCTTCTGAAAGGCAACTCTGTGGAGTTTTAGTGAATTGTTAAGTGATACTGAACAATAGACAAAGGGGTATTAATGTATTTATTTTCCATAGACTGTATAATTAAAAAGCCTTTGTGAAGCTCAGTGGTTGGCAGTCCTGACTCCTGGCTAATCAAAAAATGTGGCAAGGAAGTAGAGTGTGAGGTGTAGCTGAGGTGGAATGATTTCAACATGGGGCCTTATTGAGATTGACTTACTACTGCACCACAGCATCAAGTGGTCATTTGAGGGACTGCAGTTTTTGTTACATCGGCGTTGGCTTGATTTCACAACCACTGAGTTTTTTTTTTTTTCCCAGCCCCTTTTTTTATTTCTACGATTTTTATTAACATACTTTCACTTTTGTGTTTTGCATGCACTTCAAAGTTGTCATTCTGTGGGAGCTGAACGTGGTTTTCCCAGGGCTCCATAGCTTTGTGCATTCAAACAGTGTGTAGTTTGTCACGGTTGGGTAAGGATTCAACTACTTGATTAGGGTTTAAAAGAAACAAAGAGAAATGAATGAAAACATGGGACAAAACCACTAAAATAACTGATTCCTGACCTTTCGTCAAGGCATGAATGCCCAATCTGACCGTAGAGAAATTTCCCTGCCCAATCTCTCCACGCAGCTCGTAGAAGCCAACTCTCCGACCGAGCATCAGGTCATTGATGATCCTCTCATTGTGGGCCATGTCGTAGACGACCCTCTCAAACGGTGACCGCCTCATTCTATCTGCTTCAGTCAGCTGTGGGATGGCAGCAGAAAAGGCAGGAGAGGCCAGGGGCTTGGCGCTCTTTTCCCCTTTCGGAGCCTCGGCTTTGGATGTTTTGCTCACTTTCTGCTTTGGCCATAGGCGCGATTTGATGGCTTGAAAATAAATTTAAGACAGAAGAGTGAATTAGAAAGCAGCGGATATTTGGCATTCTACGTCAGCAGCATAGTGTGAAAGGACGATGCAGCCACATTAGAATAAATGCACTTTTAAGTCACCGCTAACATTACCTATTTTGGAGCGTGTGTTAGCCGGATACCAAAGTTATTTTTGGAATGGCTCACTGACGTCTTAAATAAGTCAAAGTGCAGAAGTAGTGCGACTACTCTACGTACAGAACAGTGGTAATGCGATTGACCTCCACGTTAACTATGAACTGTGTGTGGTGAAACGTCTGGCCTCTTTTACAACAACCCTAATCTTCATGATGGTTTGGGTTTACTTTATAAATTGTTGGTGTCTGTAGGCAAATGTTAACTGATAATATAGATTTCAATAAATAAATGTTAACTGATATTTTATCCTTTTGTTTCACACATATAGTGTTTGAATAAACTGACATTAAATCTATTCTCAGGATGCAAGAAGAGCTTTCCTTATGTTATTTTATTTGACAAAGACTTTGTGCTGTCCGTATCAGCTTTATAGGTCCAGGTAGGTGCAGATATATGTTTGGACTGTGTTAAAAGTTTTCAACATACTTGTCTTCATTTAGGGTTAGTTAGGGTTAATGATGGACAAAAGCAGGATGTGTCGACCTTTCCTGTTTTTTTTCTGTTCTGGGAACACAGGTCTTATTCACAGCACACACAGTTCTCAGGTCTCAGCACAGTTCTTTTAAAAACTGGCCAAAGTATTCACTTTCTGCCAAACAGGAAAGTATTTTGACTTTCTTTTTTGTGATGCTTAGACCCCTTTTTTTGTTTTCACAGGAAACTGTTTATTAAGGTTTCAGCATTGAACAAAGAGCTGTGAGCATTAGGGTCAGATATCAGATTGTTCATCCGCCACAGCTTGAGCTCTGTGTAACCTCTTCAAGTGACAGCACGTGCAAAGGGCAGTTACTGAGTTAAATAAAGCAGCAAATGGTCAATAACAACCACTGACATTGAATTCTTGTAAATGTACAGTGTAATAATGATACTGTTCCTCGTCCTGATCACTGTAGGTTAAATTTAGCCCTGTGGTAAGCTCAGCTCTCAAGGTGGCAGGGATTACTCACTGCTTTTAGATACAGTATTAGTGGGTTGAGTCCATTTAAATTTGGCCAGGATTACTTGCTTCTTTTAGATACTGTATTAGTGGGTCTAGTCAATTTGGAATGAATACAAATATATGTTTTTTCTCTTTTATTTTGTTCCCACTGAATTTACTTGAATTGTGTGTATATTGTACTTTACTCTGTACATGTTACTTGTTGCTGTACACATTTTAATAGAAAGAACTTTTTGATTTACATGCAATGAAATATGCAAATTTTGGTAAATAAAATTGTCTTGCCAACAAAACTAATTTAATAAAATTATTATCTTGCTCCTGTGCATTGCTATGCTATGTTGCTGCCTTCCAATGTACATCATACAATTTAGGACTAAACATGCATGTATATATTCAGTAGCCATACAGCCATTTTGTAGATTAAACAGCATACAAATATTAAGGCTAATACATCACTCTTTGTAAAAGTTTTGAAAGCATTAAGTATGTATTGACTTTATTGATATTGGCTGTTAATAATAATAAATAAATAATCTTTTACTAATGCCTTACAGATTGGTTAATCAGCATTAAAAGGAAAAGTTTGTGGTTGCCAGGTTATGAAGAATACCAGTGGCTGATGTTTATCCTTTTTATTTGGCAGCAATGCAGTAAAAATTAGTAAAACATAAATTAATTATTATGTTAAAAAGTCATTAATCGAGGGTTTACAATAATCCATCTTACAAACATGTGTCATGCTGGAGAACAAACACAACCACAAGGTTTATTCATGACTTGAAGCGATTACTTACAGCTTATAAACTCTTTATGAAGAGTGTCTTATTAGGAAATGTTAACCAAATGTATAAAAATACCAAACTTTCTGCAAATGGATTGTCAGAGACACAAATATTAGAAAAATACAAAGCAAATAAGTTTACCTGTGAGCTGCGGGTCCTTCATGTATTTTCCCTAGGCTGTAACACCTGACTGTGACTGAACTGAACTGAGCTTGAGAGGACTAAATCACTCCTCACAATCCTATTAACACAGTGTATTAGTGGACAGCTCATTGAGTGATCTGACATTGACTAAAATGATGGAAATGCTGCATATACACTTTTAAAGAATAAACTTATTAGTTAGTTAATACTGAATAACTGGTGATAAATAATTAATGTAAGCTATTAGAATTTTTTATTTTATGTTTTTAATTATTTTTATTGACTATAGTAAATTAGTTGAAAGAGAAAGTGTAACATTTATAGTTAATTATGTCAGACCGCTACATCAAGCTTTACTGACATTCAACTGTAAAAAATATTGTATGGTATGAATAACAGTATACATGTCAACAGTAGATGTAATAACATGTTTGTTTTGTTTTTTTACAGTAAAATCCTGTTGTAAACAATCATAAACTCAAAGCACAGTAACATAGCACACATTAGGGATTAAAATTATTGAAACGTCACATATATAAACAGCAATTATAAATTAAATTCAGGAAGCTCTTATATAGTAGAAAAAAAAATATTTTGGAGGACATGCAAAAAAAGGAAATAATCTTTTTACTTTGTTTAAGTTGCTGCTTCTTTATTTTTATTTAGCAGTTTTAGCTAAATAATGGGAATATAGGAGAACATAATTTAAACTGCTTTAATCAATATTTAATATTGACAGTGGGTCAAATTACTAAATTTATGTCACTCGTATTGCTGGACCCACAGAGAGGTCTGCAATTCTCCTCAGCTCTCTGCAGCATTTTGGCATCTTTAAGCACTTTGTTTTGTTTCCTGACACTTATTTGTTTTGCAGACAGCTGCATTTAGCATTAGAATTAGGTTTGTAATTTCCCTCAGGAATTGGTGGAGACCTAAACAGAACAACTGTATCAACTCTACAAGGCGATAGCAGGATAGCAGTGCTGTGTTTAACTCACAGCTTGTGTCCGCTGCCCCCATGTGGCCACAAAAAGGTTTAAGAAAGTGAGTAAAGTTCAGGTTTTATAATTGTAATTTTCTGTGTATGGAACTTGCCAAATATATATATATATAAAATAAAACTCATCTTTCACTCACTAAATTGTTTAAATAAGTTAAAATCACATTAAAATCTCACTAGCACCACCACATTATCGTCCAAGGCAACTTGCTTTGATTGACACTAAGTCCAGCCAATAGCCACAGCTTGGCTCGCAATCTGTCCAATCACAGGTGAAGATTAGTTTGGCGGGAGAGGAAAAGGCGGGATCTCGGGCTGGCTGGCTGACCAATCAGCGCGAACCTCTGACTGAAAGACCGGAAGCACATGCTGGCGCGCTGCTGCCGATGTTGTTGTCATCTGTGACATGTAGCTAGAAACCCGTAGTGATTTATTTGTGTTTCTTATAAACTATAACCTTTGTGTAAATAATCGGAGAATGGCAGCAACGGTCGCTACACCTGTCACCCCCACGGAGCACGACCCTGAGCGGTGTGGGAGTGAGGAGGAGAGCCGCGGGGCCGAGGCGGAGGAGGAGAGCAGCCAGCAGCAGACAGGCCCCGCTGCCTCCGTCACCCACAGCCGGCTGTCCAAACTCCCGCTGGCCCGCATCAAGGCGCTCATGAAGACCGACCCAGACGTGTCACTCGCCAGCCAGGAGTCTGTGTTCATCATCGCTAAAGCCACGGTAAAGAAAAGACTCAGTGTGGGACTATTTACATTTGAATAACGAGATATTTGTCTGCAACCTGGTTCAGTATGGTTCTTCTCAGTAATATATGATCAATGTGTTTAGTAAAGTTTACTACAAACTCCACCGGCTATAGGTGCAGCTCACATAATCAATATTACTATAAAATACTGTAGCAGTCTCATACAACAGTATCACATTTTCTCCAGGTCCATATCTATATAGGTTGGAAAGTATCAGTCATCTTTGTTTCTGCATTTGTTGTTGTTTTAAATGACAGAATATTGATGCATTTTGTTTATTTCTTGCAGGAGTTGTTTGTTGAGATGATCGCCAAAGATTCCCTGGTGTACGCCCAGCAAGGGAAGAGGAAAACATTGCAGAGAAAGGACTTGGGTAAGTGCTGTAAAGACATCCTGAATGCAGTCTGCACATACGTAAAGAGTCAGTGGGCTTTAAGATGTGTTTACTGTGTTATTGGATTGTTTAGGTTAATGTGCGTATCCAGTTTGACCTTTTTTCTCTTTTCTTTTGTCTCTGCAGACAACGCAATAGAGGCCATTGATGAATTTGCATTTCTTGAAGGTAAGCCTTGTCAGGACATGTTGATTTACATGAATAACATTGTTATGTTCTCCAATACCAGGTTGAATAAATCTCCCACGTGTAAAATAAGAATATCAAAGACCAAACATACATCATACTTTATGCAGATGTGCACAAATGTATTATTTGTTTTTACACCAGTACAGTTTATTCCGTACTAATTCTTCTTTATTTTCTCTGTAGGCACACTAGATTAAACACTGCTTCAGGAAACGAGAACATTGAATATCCATCCAAACATCCAAAAAACTTTCTGTCGCAGAGACACAATTTGTTGTGATGAAACTCTGTGGTACTTTTGTAAGTCAAACTCTCAAATTGGATATTTATAAATGCTTTTCTAAATTGTGCCATTAAGATTTTTCACACTTAACTTTGAAGACATCAGTGGTAATGTGTAAATGTTTTGTAAATATTTGTGAAATACTGCTGTACAACTAAATAAATTTAAGTTTTAAACAACCAATGTCTGTCAGACGTCTTCAACAGTTTGTTACACACTCAGTTTGCAAGAGCCATATTGTCATTCAAGTTTATAAGATTTTCCACAGTACCTAGTACACAAATATGTACTAATATGTATGTTGAAACAAGTTGCGATGTAACAGTTACAGGCTGGGAACTTTTTCTGTTTACTGTTTATACCAGTAACATATATTTAAATTTTATTACTACACAAAAACTGCTCCAAAAAACATCAAAAATAGTTAAAAACAGCCACAAGTCTTTAGTTTTGAGAGTCGGTCAATCGAACGTCCATAAAACCTAGGATTTTCATATATATATATATATACTGGAGTTTTAATATTCTAGTGCAGACATCTGCTTTCCTACAGATCATGGTTAAGTGTTGGTATTATTTATTGGTACGTTTTCTAAAACATTTTTATAAACTGAGAAAGGGTAGTTGTGATATTATGATGTGCTGAGGGCGGCATTGCTGGCATGTTTTCTTTTTTTCACTAACTACGTCCCTTTCTCATCAGTATATTTGTAGTTTTTTCAGTTCCCAGTGACTGTAGCTGCCACATGCTGTTTTCACTTGCATTCACACAGTTAAGTTGGTGTTTTTCACACTGGCCGGACACTGCAGGAGATATATGACAATATATATTGTGTAATGATAGAAAAAAATCTTTTTTTCGTTTATTTATTTTTTTTTTAAGTTACATCACAAATTCCACTCTTCGCTGTTTCTCTGTGCTTAAACATGTTGCTGGACGTTAAAATACCTGGACGGCCTGCCCAAGTAAAGTCTTAGACAATAATATTTTATATTTTGATACACGCTTAATTGAATATGTGTAACTACCTTTTATTTGTTGAGTATATAATTAAAAATATAATAAGAAATAGGTCTTTCCATGTGGTAATTTATATAATTTACATTTATTTTTAATTTAATGTACAGCTCTTGCAGTACTCTTGGTGGCCAGTTTGGGCCTGCAAATATCTATCCACAAAGTTCGCTGGTTGAAATGTTAATTATGTTATTATGTTAATTATTTATTATGCAATCTGAAAAACTAGCAGCACTAGTAATTGGGGGCGTTATGTATCTGCTCAATCAATCTTGCCAATGTGGAAAAAATGTAGGCGAGATGTTTCTAAGTGAGACGTAAGCAACACTGACAGTTGGCATCGTTCTGCATTGTGTAGCTTTCTCCCGTCTTCCTCTACAGCTCAGATGGATAATCTTTAACATTCTGCACCAAAGTGTGTCAAGACCTCTGTCCAAGGTTCTGATCCCGGGACCTCCAGGGATGCAGGAGCTGTCCACGGTACTGCCCTTGTTGACACGTTTAAAGAAAGGCTTTCTACTACTAGTAATGATGTGATGTAATCTTAACCAACTGGATTTCCCGAGTTAAACTGATTTTATTGTGGGAAACTTGGCAGTGAATTCTGCTCTTTTGAGTTTTTTTGTTTGTTTATTGTTTATTATTTTAGGGCCCCACACTGGTATTTACTTTTCATCTTGTTGTGATGATATGTTTCTGTACCTGGACGTATTTTATGTTGATTTGAATTTGCTGGCTAATATGTCACTGACATAAACCACGTGTAAAAAGGGAAAATATGCCTCAGAAAAAGATTTGAAACCCTTCAATATTAAAACGAGCTCACGACTTGTGCCCTGTTTGATTTAGTATATAATTTATACAAACTTTAAGGCCCTTTCGATTATTTTGCATTGTTGAACCGCAGGTTCCTGAAGGAGTTTACAGCCCCGGTTGCAGGTTTTAAGGCCAATATTGTTGTAATATAGTTTGTATATTGTACAGATAGAATAATAGAATTTAAAAATCAGATGACGCTATATCTGCGGATACTGTTTTTTTTTTTTTACATAAACATTATATCAAATTATTTGATAAGAATACCTTAAAATGACTGCAACATATCTGTCAACATTTCTGCACTACTGTTAATATTTGCCTATATTGATAATATCTGTGATATGTCAGCCGGGTCAATGTCAGTATTTTGAAGCAAAGAAAACTATTGGTTATAGATCGAAACAGTAAATCTCGCGGAAAAGAGTTCAATATATAATATCATGATTAATACTCCATTTTGCTGCAGCAGCAGTACATTTTGGACATGTGTACGGTACAATACTTACCAGTGTTGAAATGGTAAAGGTTAGATTTCTTTCTTTCAACACAAAGACTGTTGTATG